ATATATATATATATATATATATATATATATATATATATATATATATATATATATATATAGTGCAGGTAATAAACCCGTTGGTATATAATCCAAGTGGCTCCTAGAAATATCAACTATTAAAACTGATCCACAAAAAGAGCTCAATGTATTTATTATAACAGAGCATATAATTTACACAGCAAAATCCCAAATTACCTCATATGGGATGGGGGTAGATCTATTTCAGCCAACGCGAAGTACGTTAATCGGGTTAGAATTAGAGATTTACATTTTAACTTTGACTGCAGTCGAAAATTTGATACATACCCTACCCATTTCTACGTCTTAGCCAGACGAAATGCCCGAGTTGGTGGTAAGGGGAGGGCGGAAGTTATCAGTCTTAAAAGGAAGGGGCACCACAAAAATCAAAATGGAGATGAACCGTATGACCCTAAACTGGGGTTATGTGAAGAATGAGGTACTGAATAGAAAAATGGCCGAAAGGGGAGTTTTATATACAAAAAAAAAAAGATTTTAATTATATATAAAAAAGTTAAACTCCCACTTAAAAAATACCAAATTATACTTACAAATGAGATATATTAACAAGATTAACCATATTTAGTTAATTGATATTAAGTATATATATATATATATATATATATATTATAATTATTTTTTAAAAAATATGATTCCTTCACTTATTTAAAAAGTAAGAAAAATAAAAAATAATTATAATTTAAGCTCTACTTCTGTATGGTTTTTAAAATAAAAACAAAAATACTCCGGATTATTTACGTAACGTGTTCTTTCCTATTTTTCTACATATATATATATATATATATATATATATATATATATATATATATATATATATTTTCTCAAACAATTCTTCCACTTTAATCTGTGTTCCTGGTTGAGGTAGTTGTATTTCACCAACATTTACAGAGATCGACATTCGAATCAAGCGAAACTCGATGATTTCTTCAGCTAATTTTCAACTGCTTCAAATTTACTAGACAAGCGCAACACAATCTTCCACCGACTTCTTTGGTTCCAATTTCGCCACCAGCAAAATTACATTCTAATTATGATTGTGATACTTAATTGGTTCAAATTTTCTGCTTGCAGATCGCATAGGGAGCAACAATGATATCTACATTGGAAGACAAACATGAGACACTATCTATTCTTTTATTCTTTTATACCATATTTTTATGTCATACTCAATTAAATGTTTCTCTTTCCCCTTATTTTCTTACCCTTCTTAATTCATTTTATTCTGACACTTTCTCTTTTTATTTCCTTATTGTCCTCTCTTTGTTTCACTTTAGTCAATCTATCTCACTTTTTCATTATTTTCTCTCTTTTTGTTTCACTGTCTCTCTCTTTCTCTTCATTTATTTTCTCTTTTTTTTTCTCGCTCTGTTACTCTTTTCTCCTTATTGCCTCTGTTTCTCTTTTTCGCTCTGTTTAGCTTTCTTTTTATTATTTCACTATTTCTCTTTCTCTTTATCTTCCCATCTGTCTGTCTCTCTTTCTCTTCATTCATACTTTTTTTTAGCAAAATTTAAATTAGAATTTTTTTCCTAGTATATTTTGTTTTTATTCATTTAAAGTTTTTGAGAGTGTTTATATATATATATATATATATATATATATATATATATATATATATATATATATATATATATATATATATATATATATATATATATATATATATATATATATATATATATATATATATATATGATTGATTGAGCGAGAGAGCGAAATATTGAAGAATTGATCAGAAAGTCAGTTGAATATTACACAGAGTTCGATCCTCACAGTGTCCGATATTCCTAAACTTAATCAAATTCAAAGCCATGGTCGGTAGATTATTAAATATAATTTATCTTCAGGTCAATTACTTTTTCTATCTAGCTTATACTTTCCTATATAAATACATTTTAATACTACATTATACGTACATTTATGTTGTAATCTTCTGTCTCTTTTCCTTTTTGTATAATCTATTTCCTCGCATATATATATATATATATATATATATATATATATATATCGATTTTTTTAGATGCGAATCCTCTCCCAGTACGCCATGATATTAAAATCCTACTTTCTAGCACCCTTTCGAGGGTCGAAATACTCCCTCTCTGTCATAGTTTTTGACTTCTCTTGTCCAATTTACTCTCTATATTTCTCTTTCTCTCTCTATTTCTCTCCCTCTCTCTCTCTCTCTCTCTCTCTCTCACTCTAGGCGCACGTACACAGACTCACATTCATTAAGCACACACTAAACGCATACACACACACAGCTCAGCGCGCATGCGCCCATCAACGATCCTGTCTGCTATTCTGCACATGCGCACACGCAAAACATCGATCGATACTGTCTAACAAACTTCGGCAGGCACGGAATCGATTTTCAGCGAATCGTGAGCAAATAAGAGACGCCGACACAAACGTCACCTCCAACTCTACCGTCGCCGCCGTACCTTCCTCGCCATTCCCCACCCTTCCGCCATCATTTTCCTCTTTTTTTTTTTATTCTTGTTCCTCTTCTTTCTTGCCTTGTTTTTCCTTCTCTCCCCTTTCGCGAGTCGAAGCTCGCTGGGAATTCAGTGCGGCCTGCCTTTCTAATTGTGGTATAAACAACATCGCCGACAACGCCGCTGCCTCTGCCAATCACATTACAACTCTCCTACGCTGCCGCCAACTTCTGACGAAGAAATGGATTTTTCTTTCTTTCTCTCTTTTTTTTTCTTCTTTTTTTTTTTTTTTTTTTTTTTTTTTACCTTTTTTTTTCCTGTTCACCACCGATCGTAGTCGTTCACGCAACTCACAACGATGACAACGATGTGGATGGCGGCCGGCGATGCATACGTCTATTTACGCTTGTGTGTCTATCTGTAGCCACATAGGTGCGCGGATATAAACGTCGCGAACACACAAACACACACGCACACACGAACATCTACGTGAAACCTTTGTGCTTTGTGCATGTATATATATATATATATATATATATATATATATATATATATATATATATATATATATATACCGTGTGTGTATATGCGTCTGTAGAGTACTTGCTGCGTGCCTCAATATTTGCACGCGTATTTTTGGATGTGTTATTAACAATATATATATATATACATATAACAGTGATATATATATATATATATATATATGTATATATATATATATATACACAAAGAGAGAGGGGGAGAGCAGGAGAGAAAGAGAAGTGGAGAGAGAGAAATAATATATGTTGTGTACACGCGCTCGTGCGTGCATGTCGTGCGCTTTCATCCTGCTTTGGGGAATGTCTATGTCTGTATGTACAGGAGTAGAATGGTGTGTGTGTGTGTGTGTGTGTGTGTGTGTGTGTGTGTGTGTGTGTGTGTGTGTGTGCGCGCGCGTGTGCGTGTGCGTGTGTGTGTGGTCGTATGTGTGTTCTCACACATGTGTGTCGATTTCTGTGTCCTTCTTCACTACGGCGCTTTTTACGGCATTAATGATCGGAGCAAACTGTAATGAGTGTTACGGAATTAGAGGTTAACAGAGATAACGTTAACACGACGTATTGGAATATATATATATATATATATATATATATATATATATATGTGTGTGTGTGTGTGTGTGTGTGTGTGTGTGTGTGTGTGTGTGTAGATAGATAGATAGATAGATAGATAGATAGATAGATAGATAGATAGATAGATAGATATGTGTGTGTGTAGATAGATAGATAGATATAGAGTGAGAGACTAAGTGTCGACAAACAAACACATAATGGAAGGCTTATTGCTATTATATAGTTGCGATTTGTTTCTTTTCGAGTTCGTAACGAAATAAGAGTTAAAGTTTCAAATGAAGATTTTTAAGCCAGCACGTTTTCGTTGATTATTAAAATAATATATCTACCACATTTATTTTAGTCCAACATAAGCTCAGTTTTAGGATTTCTCTCTCCCCCCTCTCTCCCTCTATCTCTCTCTCTCTCTCTCTCTCTCTCTATATATATATATATATATATATATATATATATATATATATATATATATATATATATTGCATATTGGGTAAAACCTTCTTCTATACATTTTTTTATTGAATGTGAAAAATCTTGGTTTTATTACGTATTTTTTTTTTGTTTCTTGTGTTTTTTTTTTTAATATTCTTACAGTTTGTCTTATCGGAAGGACCGTACACAATGATTATTGTCACAAACAGTTTCAGTCAATTCATGAGACATATTGAAATGACCCGTTGTTAATGCTTTTACATGTTCGTATTATAAGGTGCGCGCGCATACACACGCACACATATTATATGGGTACTCGCATTTGAAATAGACATCCCATTTTTTTTTTAACTTGTGCAAAGTAAAAAAAAGTTTAAAAAACAGTATTCACTATAATAACGTTTGAAGTAATAAAAATGCCTGATTTAAAGTAATTCATTTAAAGTAATTCCTTAATACTTAATACACACACACACACACACACACACACACATATATATATATATATATATATATATATATATATATATATATATATATATATATATTTTAAAATGCTCAAACTCTAATATTCCATGGTAATAAATTAACCATGGAATATTAGTGTTTATGCATTTTATATTATATTCTTACTTTGTCCTGACATTGAGTTCTACCTGGATTCTATCCTCTTGGGAAATATATATATATATATATATATATATATATATATATATATATATATATATATATATATATATATATATATATATATATTAATGTTATATATATATATATATATTTTACAATATTCACGTAATTGTTTTATTGCTGATATTCACGAAATTATTAGGAAATTTTTTTTTACTAATATTTACCCAATATAAGACCCAAGAGCAACTCAAGTTAGAGTATTACTGTGTGGAGCATAGAGCTGAATTAAACTTTAAAAGGAACCGGAAAGCCAATCCTGAACACGAAACAAGAAATAATCCGTTACTCCTAT